TTGCTGTTCCCCTCTCCCGAGGTCATCTTTTCTCCCATCCCAGATGTAGTTCGTGTGTCCCAGGAACTGCACGTACTGTAGCTAGCTCTGGATAACACTTTTGTCACTTCTTTTATGCCCTGAAAAGAGTACCAAAAACTTTCATATGATTTGTACCTTTTGTGGAAAGATATGATGAAACGATATTTAACGTTTATTTTCAAAAGGAAGCACTAAAAACATTCACAATATGGGGCTTAGGTAAATTTAAAATTTGTTTTGGAAAAATTTTGTACTCTCACACCCTTCTTAAAGTTGATGTCTTAAAAAGAAGTATATGTTTAAGAAGTTTTGAAGGACTAATTTTTATGTACTGTCAATATTGATACTTAAAAGTAAACTTGTCATATCATTCTTTGTAACATATCCAGTTACATGCCATAATGAATAATACCCACATCACCCATGAAAAACTTTTTTTTAATGTTTCTTTATTTTTGAGAGAGACAGAGACAGAGTGCAAGGGGGGAGGGGCAGAGAGAGGGAGACACAGAATCTGAAGCAGGCTCCAGGCTCTGAGCCATCAGCACAGAGCCCGATGCGGGCAAGGCTTGAACTCACAAACTTGTGAGATCATGACCTGAGCTGAAGTCAGATGCTTAACTGATTGAGCCACTCAGGCACCCTGCACCATTACCCATTTAAAAATAAATGAACAAGCTTATCTTAATGGTCAGAAATTATACCTCAATTCTTTGAGCTCATTCCCATTCCAATTCCCTCCCTAGAGAAATGCATTTTATTTGTTTATTTTTTACAAGTTTATTTACCTATTCTGACAGAGACAGAGAGAGAGAGAGAATCCCAAGCAAGCTCCGTGCCATCAGTACAGAGCATGATGTGGGGCTCAGTCCCACGAACCATGAGATCATGACCTGAGCCGAGATCAAGAGTCAGACACTCAACTTACTGAGCCACCCAGGCACCCCTGGAAATGCATTTTAATGTGATGTGCAGTTAGGCTTGAAAATCTCCCACTGATGACCCTCTTGTACTTCTCTGCCAAAATTTGTATAGAAATCAAACAAAAATAAAATATAAACAAAATAAAAATGTGTATATAAATGAAATTTAATAATTTGTAAATTCTTTGTAACTCCATCGCGTAAGACTCCGAGCATAAAAATGTCAAACATAAATTTATTTTATTTTATTTTATTTTATTTTATTTCATTTTATTTTAGTATTAAACTCCCAAAGCAACACTTTATTGGCAATGCACCTCTTGGTGAGATGGATGGGAGATGATTTACTTATTTTACTATTAGTACACAGATCACTGTTAAACTGAGCTGAGTTTCAGTGTTATTTCTGTGCCAATGTCTCCTTTTTATTGATGCTGGTGTTGAGAAACTTTGTTCATACAAATTAGATAGGACTGGAAGGAGAATCTTTATATCAATGCTACTCAACTTATTTTATTTTATTTTTTAAGTTTTTAAAGTTTTATTTACTTATTTCAAGAGCGACAGAGAGTGAGCAGGGGAGGGGCAGAGAGAGAGAGAGAGAGAGGCTCTGGCAGTGCGGAGCCTGATGCTGGGCTTGAACTCACGACCCACGAGATCATGACTTGAGCAGAAACCAAGAGTTGGTCACTTAATCGACTGAGCCACGCAGGCGCCCATATTTTTTAATTTTTTTGATGTTTATTTATTTATTTTTTTTTTTTAAATTTTTGGGGCGCCTGGGTGGCGCAGTCGGTTAAGCGTCCGACCTCAGCCAGGTCACGATCTCGCGGTCCGTGAGTTCGAGCCCCGCGTCAGGCTCTGGGCTGATGGCTCAGAGCCTGGAGCCTGTTTCCGATTCTGTGTCTCCCTCTCTCTCTGCCCCTCCCCTGTTCATGCTCTGTCTCTCTGTGTCCCAAAAATAAATAAACGTTGAAAAAAAAATATTTAAAAAAAATTTTTTTTTAACGTTTTTTTAAATTTATTTTTGAGACAAGGAGAGACAGAGCATGAACAGGGGAGGGTCAGAGAGAGGGAGACACAGAATCTGAAACAGGCTCCAGGCTCTGAGCTGTCAGCCCAGAGCCCGACGCGGGGCTCGAACTCATGGACCGCGAGATCATGACCTGAACCGAAGTCAGCCGCTTAACCGACTGAACCACCCAGGCCCCCCTCAGTGTTACTCAATTTAAAATGTAACTCCTTCGGAGTGATATGCCCCCCCAAACCCAAGATCATCTATCATCAAAACCTGTTTGATGAATGGACACCTGTGTAGGTCTTCCTTTAATTTTGGAGGAAACGAACTAAAAACCGCGAGGTTGGCAAAATAACTCGTTGCCTAATTATTGGAGTGATTCACTTTCTGGACCATCGCCAAGTGTTTGGGCTGTCCCTCTGTTTGGCTCCCCAGAATGTTTCACACTTGAGGCCAACACACTGTTGAGAATAGGAAGGGTCTTGGTGGAAGGGTGAGGGGATCAGGACGACCCCTTGAACTTGCTGCCCTCAAGGCAGATCCCTTGTAGGAATGAATATGTACTGAAGCAAAGGCAGGAGAGTGATGCTGTGAAACCATCTGAGGCCGACACGCCCCTTGGAAAATGTTCCAGTGCCTCCAGTAGGCTTGCCTAACAGTCCAGAAGTCTCCACCGGGTTGCACAGAGTTTCTGTGCTGTACCCAGCAGACACAGAACCACTCTCAGAGCCATGGTAGACTCACAGTGCCCTTGTCCCCTGCCATCACCTGCTGGCTCTCTTAGACACCCCCTTCCCCACCCCCCCCAAAAAAACAGTGCAGCACCCAATAAATTATTTAAACCTCCAGGATGTGTGTCTCAGAAACCAACGAATCTAATTTTTTCCCCTTAAGTCTAGTTATTTAAAAATAGTTGTCACCTTTCCAGAAGCCTCGGCCGTTTTCTGTAAGCACCGATGACCTCATCCAATGTTGTGGCTAACTCGCAGCCACATATAATTAAGTTCTGTCTTGCCGTGTTTCTGCTGCAAGATGATGCGAGGCTTCCCTTCCTGCTACGCTGCCGTGGGAGGAGGACGCCGGGAGAAAATACTGCCGTGTGTGGCTCACAAACCTTCCACCGTCACCCCTGTCTTGTTCTGTAAGAAGGGCCATGCGCTCTTCTGCGGGGCAAGGCGGGGGCTGTCCCTTCCCCTGTGCTCCTACTCAATTTGCCTAACAACCTGTAAAGGCAGTAGCATCATCCCCCCTTCATGGATAAGGAAATCGAGTCTCAGAGAGGTTATGACTCGGTCATTGTCTTGCACCGGTGGAGGGCAAACCCAAGACTACCAGCTCGGTCTGTCTTGTTACTGAGGCTGTGTGTCCTCACCCACGCGCCCGGGGCCACCTTAGACAGAAAACACCTCCTTAGCTGCGGCGGGTACCCCGGGTGGGGGTGTGGGAAGCTGTGCTGGCAGATGACTGTGGTCTTCAGAAACGCCTAGCAGGTGTGAGCCTAGAGCGGTGCTCCCCAAGGCCAGACGCGAAAGGCCCAAGGCCGTCCCAGCCGCTGAAGTTCAGCAGCGCGCTTGCGCCCCAGGTAGAGCGTGGGGAGTGGGCGGTGGGACCCACAGCGCCCATCACACTGTTCCTGGGGGAACAGCCGCTGCGGCGGTGGGGCGTCTGCAGAATTGCAGCGATGACAGACGGAGTGTCCTCGGAACACTGGGGACTTTGAAAGGTAGGGGGGACGAGGGGGAGAGGACCCTGTTTCGTGGGCAGCTATGAGTCAGACCTCTTGTCCCTGGGGGTGGGGAGGTGGCCTGAGGTTGCCTGCAGGTGATAACACAGGTCATTGTCTTTTCTCTTTGTCTTTTAATTGACAAGCCACAGGTTGTTCTGAATGAAGTAGGAAGTAATACAGTGTGGAGTTTATGGTTTTCACTTTGGACTCAAATGATTTATAAGGAAGGAGAGACTATATAGGTTTATGTGTTTATATATACACCTATATATATACATATATATACACATACATACACTCTCTATATACATATATATACATATATATACACATACATATATACATATACATATATATACATATATATACATATATACCTGTATATACATATATACAGGTGTGTATGTATGTGTATATATATGTATATATATGTATATGTATATGTATATATATATACATAGGTGCGTATGTACATATATGTACATATATGTGTATATGTATATAGGTGTATACATATACATATACATACATACAGGTATATACATATAGGTGTATACGTATATATATGTACATATATATACACACATACGTATGTGTACTTATACACACAGAGACAGAGACAGAGAGAGATAGAGAGACAAGGGAGAACATATAGGCATATATTCCCAGCAGATACGTGTAAGCAGGCTCCAGGTATTTATGTAAATGAGAAGACATTAGAATATCTTGGGGCATGGTGAAATTTGCTTTTTTTTTTTTAATGTTTATTTATTTTTGAGAAAGAGAGAGAGAGAGACAGCATGTACGTGGGGGAGGGGCAGAGAGAGAAGGAGACACAGAACCGAAGCAGGCTCCAGGCTCCGAGCTGTCCGCACCGAGCCCGACGCGGGGCTCGAGCCCACGGACCCGCGAGATCATGACCCGAGCCGAAGTCAGACGCTTAACCGACTGAACCAGCCAGGCGCCTCTGCTTTTGTGTTTTTTTTTTTTTTTATAATTTTTTTTTTCAACGTTTATTTATTTTTGGGACAGAGAGAGACAGAGCATGAACGGGGGAGGGGCAGAGAGAGAGGGAGACACAGAATCGGAAACAGGCTCCAGGCTCCGAGCCATCAGCCCAGAGCCCGACGCGGGGCTCGAACTCACGGACCGCGAGATGGTGACCTGGCTGAAGTCGGATGCTTAACCGACTGCGCCACCCAGGTGCCCCTGTGTTTTTGTTTTTAATCTCGAAGACTCTCCGCAGGGAAACTTGGAGCTGTGCTGGGCTCACCCAGAAGTACTGTCTGTGGAAGCAGAAATGAAGCTCCGAGGTGTCATCGAAGGATGCTGGCGATGCGTCTCCCAGGCCCGGGGAGGGAGATACAAGAGAGATACAAAAATTCCTCCTGGTCCTAAAAACAACGACAACGACGACAACAACAACAACAAGTTAATTTAAATTCGAAATATAAGTAACTATTTTAAAAATCTCACTCACAGGCAGGAGAAAGGACACCTTGTTTATAATGTCGATTATGTCAGTTTAGAAATACCCATCGCAAGCAAAAGAAATCAGGAGGCAGAGTATCTCCTTTGCCTGTAGACGCCCGCTGATTGTATTTTACACCTGAAACTAAGATAACCCTGTATGTTCATTATACGTCAATAAAAAAAAAAAATCCCTAAGATTAAAGTAAGGTATTACTGCTCAGATCCAAGTAGACTCTTTTGCAATAAAGTTTGTAGGGATTCCCAGGCCCCACCCTAGACTTACTGAATCCGATCCCCTTGGGATGAGAGCCTGAAGGCTGCATTTTAAAAGCTCTCTGGGCAATTCTGATGTGTCATGCTCTGTACTTGGGAATGTTCTAGCAGAGCAAAGATGGCTGTGCATTGTGACTCAGATGAGCTAATTATTGGCTTATGAAGAGCACTTGGTATTTTTATGAGCATTCTAGAGAAGTGTGGGGTGGGGAGGGGGACGATGTTGATTCCCGGCAAGCTTGAATTCTGTTTGCATTTGCTCGTGTCTGTAACATTCTGGCTTTCCATTCCAACATCTCCACACCCTACCTGGCCTGATCCCTCAAAGATCACTCAACGTCCACTTGTGAACAAAGATGTCTGCTCTGTGCTCCTGTCTCTTTTTTGGGGCCCTGGTGAGCCAGGCTAGGTCAGAAGGCCCTTTTTATTTTATTTATTTATTTAAAAAAAATTTTTTTTTAACATTTATTTATTTTTGAGACAGAGAGAGACAGAGCATGAATGGGGGAGGAGCAGAGAGGGAGACACAGAATTGGAAGCAGGCTCCAGCCTATGGGCCTTCAGCCCAGAGCCTGACGCGGGGCTCGAACTCACGGACCGTGAGATCGTGACCTGAGCTGAAGTCAGACGCTCAACCGAATGAGCCACCCAGGTGCCCCCAGAAGGCCCTTTTTAATCTAGTTATAGAGCAAACATGGAGCAAGTCCCAGACGACGTGCCTCAGTTTCCAGTCTAGTCTGGTCCTGTCATCACTGAAGGCATCCAAAGGCATCCAAAGCCCCCAGAGTCACCTCTAAGCCAAAAGGGCTCCACATTTATGGTTTATATATAGTTCCCTCCACCCTCCTGGTTGGTAGACTTTCCACTCTCTGTCTCCTCCTTAGTTTGGGAGTCTCATCTTGGTTGCTGCAAGTCACAGAGGGGCTATGGAAGTCGGAAGACGATTCCGATGCTTTTTCTACCCAAGCACGGACACTAGTCGGAGTCTTTTCAGCTTTTCAATATCTCAAACAGATTGCCTCCCATCTCCATTATTCAACTTATTTGGACACTGATTTGTCTTCCAGTCGCTCCTATTTAAAATCATCATGGCCTTCTGGATAATTCTCGGGAAACTCTCCCTGAAGGATTTGGCAATGAGTGGCCAGAACATCGGGGCCACCGATGAGGTGGTTCCCAGCTTGGGTCGTAGGCTCTTTGGGAAACAGAGATATCTAACTACCTTGAATAATGAGGGCGGCAGGGAGGAGAGGCAGGTAGAAATAAAAAATCTCACGGAAATGGGAAAATGTTTGCAAACTGGGGAGTCGCTGAGGGTACGGTAGGGCCTCAATGACAGGACTGTGTTGTTCCTCCCTGGCAGTCCAACTGTATGAACCTCAGCCAGAATTTTGCAACATCAAACATGCCGACTCAAATACTCTCTGCGTGACTCAAAACCAAACTTTCCAAGAGAGAGGCTCTGCCTTGATTGGGTTTGGTGCCAGGCTACCTCAGTCTTCTGGCCAGACTGCAGATGGGCTACCTTTGAGCTAGGTGCCCACTTGTGGTCCAATCAGCTGTGGCCAGGGAGAGTGCTGGATGGGAGTAGAGAGCCCATCATAGGAACCATGGCCACTGTCATAGGTTGGGTTCCGTAGAAGCCGACCCTGAGGATTAGTGTGAAAGTGACTTATTCAGAAAGTGTTCCCCTGGAAAAAGTAGCAGAGAAATGAGGAAGTGAGATCTAGACATCTAGACGGGAAGTCAGAAGAGGAGGGGTACAATATCTAGCCACGTCCCCAGGAAGGGGGGTTTGGTTCAGTGCCTCAGGGGGAGCTCTGGAGATAGGGTAGGTCCCACCTCAGAGTCGTCCCAGTCAGGGCAAGGCAACTGGGACATTCATCCCCGTGAACTCATTAGTCTTGGGTAACGGTTGGCCTGAGGCACAAACTCCTAGACATTTCTAGCGTTTCTTCTGCAGGGAAGGTAGCTGCTGGCAGCCAGAAGGCAGTCCTTCTTCAGGGAGATGTAAAGCCCAGTGTTGCGAGTGACAGCACTCTGACAGGCTGTGCTCACGAAACGGTCAAAGCATCTGACGGACTGCGGACTGTAGCACTGACATCATCTGCTACAGCCAGCTGAAGAATGTGCTAGAGAGGCTCTCTTCACCAGAGTGCTGTGGTCGTGGCTGACGCCATAAGCTGACTAAAGTCTTCCCCACATTGCCTGACTGTGACGACGACCCAACGAGCCGGGAGCTTAGGTTCGGGTCGTAAAACGTGCAGTCGTGTGTCTAGGGCCTGTGTCTACAGTATGGCACCTGCAGAAATGGCCAACCGAGGCCAACATACATCAAAGGCCGACACACAGCAGACAAGGTCACGTTCACCAGACTCTGGCTCTTTTCAGTGTAGGAAGAAGGGAGGAACTCTTTTCAACCAAGTCAACAAAGAGAAATTAACTTCCTTATTAATCACCGAGAAATACCACTTCAAATACCTGATACAAACACAGCACGGCTGTCTATAGAGCCGGCTCCATTTTTATTTCCGCAAACTCTCCTCAGTTTGAGGAGCGGCAGTATTCTGTATCACCCAGAAGCTAAGCGTTCGGGATTCCCTGGCTGACTGTGCGTTCCCTCTTTTGGGGACTCTCCCCACACTGGAGCCCGCACCATCCGGGCTTTCCCGTGTCCCATCGGATGGTAATCTCTTTAGAGATACGAACAGGGACCCACTCACGGGGATACAAATATTCAACCGTTGGCTCTCAGGGTAAAGTGTATTCTTATACACACATACACACAACTTTATTGTATCCTTGAATGATATAAAGGATGTATAGCTCACAATTTACAAATGATAGTGATATACGATACTCTGTGTTGTAAGTTCCATAGCGCCAACTGGTTTTCACAGAGTGCTTTCCACTGATTTTTCGCTAAACTCTTCTGTCTCTGGGCAGCCTACGGCTGCGGTTGATGAACGAGGAAGCTCCAACCTGAATGTCGGTCGGCATCTTCATTTATGTGAACAGGTAAGACAAACACGGGGATGTGTGTTGGAACTTCACTCAACGACAAGAGTGACGTCAAAAATGGTTCTGGGGACCACGGCTGGAAGAACATCAGCCCCGTCCCCAAAGGGCTCACAGTCTCACGGGAGAGACGATATGTAAAAGCATGTGACAAGGCGACAATGACTCTGATGGAAACACAAGGAAAGAGAGCCCTGTGGGGGCCCTGTGGGAGCCTGTCCCACTGGATCAGGAGGCCACCCCAAAATGGGACACTCGGTGCGGCATGTAGCTTCTAGAATCACAGCTCGTCACCTGCTACACAAGGGAGTAGAAGATGGTGTTTCAACTTGGCAGGGTCTATGTGTCTTCAGCTCTCCCCAGGTACTCCACTCCCCACAGGGCGTGCCCTGCAAATTTCACGCTATGACAACGTCTATTCTGTTGAAAAAGCTTAGGGTGATACACACCCCTACCTACAAATAGCTTAGTAACGTAAGCAAAACACAACAGCGGCCGCTGATACCGCCTTCCTGCGGTTGTAAACGATGAAATTCTCAAGGAATGCGTCCCACACTCACGTGGCCCAACCAGTGCCTTGTGAAGCCCTTTTCTGTAAGTGTGAGTGCTATGTTCTGCGCCTCGAGTCAACGTGGATCTCCTATCCAGTTCACAGGTTGACGGTGCACCTTCCACAAGTACCCATAGTCAGCCCAGCGCTCAAGGAAACTAAAGGCAAGCCGTTGACAGGGGCGGTGCGAGTTTGAAAAAAATGTTGCAAATCTGTGTCTCCGTCCTTCCTGAGAACGAATGGCGGGGGACGCAGGTCAAGATTTACACTACTCTGTAATTTTAGACTGCGCTTCAGGACTTACCTTATCCTAGGACTTCGGCTCTCACGTTTTTTACAACGCGATACTGCCGATTTCCCCACATAAATAGCCATTAGATGGACTAATGGAATGAAAAGAATTTAGAAAGAGCGGGCGGGTTAAAGAGACAGCCGGATATAAAGGTAATATATATTCTCTTTTATTTTCCTGAGTGCAAATGTTGTTTTTACGTTTTTAACACTTAAATTCAGGTTAGTTAACATACCGTGTAGGATGGGTTTCAGGAGTAGAACCAGGGATTTATCACTCACATGTAACACCCAGTACTCATCCCAACAGGTGCCCGCCTAATGCCCATCCCCCATTTAGCCCCTCCCCCACCCAACACCCCTCCAGCGGCCCTCAGTTTGTTCTCCGTACTTAAGAGTCTCTTCCGGTTTGCCTCCTCCTGTCTTTTGATTTTTCCTTCCCTTCCCCTGCGTTCATCTGTTTTGTTTCTTAAATTCCACAAATGAGTGGAATCATATATTTGTCTATTTAATTTTCCTAAATATTCTCCCTCCCACACACTCACACCCCCATACACCTCTTTCACTTCCTTACTCTCTCCCTCTCTGTGGGTCCTTCTTCCATCTTTTTTTCCACGTGCCACCCTTTGGCTTCTCCTCCCCACCCCCACCCCCCCACCCCTGCACTCCTAGACAGTATACTCAGATGGGGAACTGCCTTCAAGCCTCAACTGACTTAGAACCTTTCACTGAATACACCGATAAACCAGGTATTTTTCAACTGCTTTGGAGAAGGTCTGCAATTAGCTAGACATGCGCATGGATTTTTCTTTCTCTCACTGAAGCGTATTTTGGGGACACATTTAATGTTAAGCCAGTGTTGCCCAAACTGTGTTCCGTGGAACAGTTAGCGTTCTTGGAGATGATAACAAGCGTTCTGAGTTGACCAATCGCCTCTTTTTTTTAAATTTTTTTTTTCAACGTTTATTATTTTTTTTTTATTTTTGGGACAGAGGGAGACAGAGCATGAACGGGGGAGGGGCAGAGAGAGAGGGAGACACAGAATCGGAAACAGGCTCCAGGCTCTGAGCCATCAGCCCAGAGCCCGACGCGGGGCTCGAACTCACGGACCGCGAGATCGTGACCTGGCTGAAGTCGGACGCTTAACCGACTGCGCCACCCAGGCGCCCCCCAATCGCCTCTTTAATGGTCCGGGGAACACACTTTGGGAAACACCCATCTCATGCAGTAAGACTTTTCTTTTTTCTGTGCTAAAGGGCTGAGGAAAGGAGCCCTCGGATTCCATCCCAGCCTCCAAGGGCTGCCCCTCTGGGGACGGAAGCGGCGGTCTGTGATGGGGGTCCCTGCTTACTTTCTCACTCCCGCTCATGTTTGACAAGCTTCCCACCCCGTCTCCTGCTCTGCCCTCCAGGATGAACAGAAGCTTGTCCACGGCCCCCTCGTGATCTTCGACTTTGAAAGGGTCTCATAAAGCAGCCGTGGCCCGGCACTAGCTTTCTAAGCCTGTTCTCTTGTGGTTCCGTTGGCCTTTGTGCTGACAAGCAAGCATCTTCCGCAAAGACTCTGATCCCAGAACCTTGAGGAGGTTGTGTTTAAGCTCTCTTGGACCAGCCATTGAATCCTGATCTGTGGGCCACTCGCCCTCCCTTCTAGATGGTGTCAAAATTATTTAGACTGCCTTATTAAAGGTGTTATCCTATAAAAGATGGCTTTAAAGCCTCCGAACAGGGGACCCCGTGCCTGCCTTACCTGTTGTTACAGAAGGCGACTCCCCAGGTCTTTAGCAGGTATGGATGTGTGCTGGGCTGCAGTACCTTCCTCACAGGGGTGTGTTGATGAGTTGAAGGTCAATGTAGCATCTACCGAGTCTACGGCCTGCAGGCCAGAATTCTGAGAATTAATACAAAATGCACACTATTCGTGAGACAAGGTAATTTCAAAAAAAGGTAGCTCGGGGTAAAATGTGTGTTAGGCAAGAAATAGAGTCGCTGGTAAGGAACATAGGAGGACAGGAGAGGGTTGGGGAACCCTGGTGCCCTGGTGGGGTCTGGGGGCCCAGACTCGTCCTGTTTAGTTCTGTGGCTGGGCTGATGAGCAGCTTTTGATCATTGGATGCCGTCTGTGGTTTTCCTACTGGGGATAATATTCTGGGTTTGTATCCATGGTCAGACCTGCTGTGTTGCCTTAGTGGAGACACTGGCGGAGGAACAGATTTTCTAGTTCAGTTCACGTGAGTTGGCCTCTAATCAACCTGGAAAACAGACTCACATCTCTGAAGGGGCAGAGCTGAGGTCCCTAACCTTTAGTCACCTCACTAAGGTCTGCCAAGGGCCAGCCTGATGATGCCTTACCCTGGCAGCAAGTCCCCTGGTGTCACCCTTTGGTGGGATGTCACTCGGGGATTCCCAGACCAACCAAGAATGTTTAACCGGGGCTTTTTTTTTTTTTTTTTTTTTCCTGTAGCGCTAACAGTAACTCTCTGGCCTCACTGTTCACCCATTAAGACGGTTGCCTTGTAGAAAAGAGCTCCTTGAAGTCTGACAGATCTGAGTTTTAGTGGGACTTCTGCCACTTACTGTTTGGGGGGCCTTGCCTATGTCAGATAACTTCTCCAGGCCTGAAGTTTTTGTGTGTGTGTAAAACGTAAATTCCTACCGCATGGTTGTAAGGAAGTTGCACGGGTGAATAGTGATATATGGAAGACAGGTGACTCAGTGCCTGGGTGAAATAGGGCAGGCTACTGTTTACGGAAATATTTGCGAGAGAGAGAGAAAGAGAGAGAGAGAGGGCGCCCAAATCTTTTCCTTAGAGTGAGGAAGGAGGGGAGGATCACTAGATAACGCCACCAAGGGAGAAGGCTCTGCTAGACAGAGGACAGGTGCGAATGTGGAGTCCTGCCCGTATCCTGCAGGTAGAACGGGCCACCAAGTCCCCTGCAGCTGAAGAGTTCCGATTCAGGTGCCGCAGGAAAGGCTGGGGAATCACCTTGGCCTCTCCGTTGAGTGGCGCTTCACCCGGTCACCCCCGGGACCCAGCATGTCTTCCAGGGAGCCGTGGTTACTAGGCGCGAGAGCGTCCATGGCAACCGCCAGCCACAGGGTTCCTCCCGCGCCCGCCGCCCGCCCCTCCTCCTACGGGCCAATCATCTCCCGAAGAGCTGGCAGGGGCGGCCGTTGAGTGGTCCGCGGGCGCTGACGTCACAGGTGGGAAAGGCGGGGCCAGGGCCGGACCGGTAGGGGTCCCAGCCCTCAAGGGCGGGACTGCGCGCCGACAGGTGAGTGGTCTCACCGGCCCCTGCGTGCCGCTGGGACGACCCCTCCAGGGTCCCCTTCCCCAGTGAGGCCCCAACGTCTGACCTCAGAATTGGGGGTGAAGTGGAAACCCTGGAATTCCTCTCCCCCACCTGCACCTCCCTGCTCCCACCCCTCAAAATAGAAACCGTCCAAACCCACTGGTACCCACTACCCAACCCCTACCCGGTGCCTTTGCAACTTACATTTCCCATGCTCTGCAAGGATTGAGGAGTTATTTCTAAATACGGAACCAGCAAAGGGGGCGTCCGCCCCCCCCCCCCGCCCCTGTGCTCCCTCGTGTGATTTCTCAGTGCTGTGCTGTTCCACTGTCGCGCTGTGTCCTGCTTCATTAGCCGGGTTTCTAAGTGCCACCAAGGGGAGGGCCCTACAAACACTTGGCCGCTCAGAGAGGGTTCCTGAGGTTCCCATCAAGGTAGGGTGTTCTCCCGCGGCCCGTGGCCATTTGTGTTCCTGCTCTGACCATGAAGCTCTTGTATTTTGACCGTTTAGACCAAGTCCCTTTATGTTTCCCCCCTGGATGCTTATAATGATGCAGGTAAGCATTTTAGAAATGGGTTAAAATTAGTTGTCTGGTCACTGTGGAAAAAGGCAAGCAAATTGTTTCACTACTAGGCAAAGTGTTTTGGGGTTTCTGATAAAATATTCTGCTGTTTCTTTTTTCTTTTTATTTATTTATGTTTAAATGTTTATTTTGAGAGAGAGCGAGCATGAGCAGGGGAGGGGCAGAGAGAGAGAGGGAGAGAGAGAGAGAATCCCAAGCAGGCTCCGTGCTGTCACTGCAGAGCCTGATGTGGGACTCGATCCCAAGAACAGTGAAATCATGACCTGAGCCGAAAGCAAGAGTCGGCCTCTTAACCGACCCAACCACTCAGCCGCCCCAACTCTTTTCTTTTTAAAATGAAATATTTTCCGCAGTAGAGCATTCAAGCATCCATGCATCCATCATGAGGCCTCCTCCTATGTACCCCCTTGGGAATCGCGTCCCCTTTTTTCCTTTCCTGTCTGGTTTCCACGGCTCCCAAATGCTGAGGTCAGAGGTTGGGGCCTCACTGGGGAAGGGGACCCTGGAGGGGTCGTCCCAGAAGACTACCTACCAGATTTTAGTGTTTACTTCTACTCTGTGTATTTTTATACCTTTACTACTTATGTATTTGTCCAAAAATGAACGTATAGTGTTGTTTTTCAAGTTTATATAATGGTGTCATGCTTTACATGCTCTAGGTCATGCATTTTAACTGCCCTGTGATAATGCTTTATGAACTTCCTACTGATGATGTGTGCATACTCCTGTTGATAGACTTTTTGACCGTTTGCTTTTAAAAATTGTTAGAAACATATTCTGGTACGTTCTAATTGCATACACACTCAACTTTCTCTAGGTATATATGAAAAAGTTGAATTGCTGAATAGGGAAGGTGCCTTTTCTTTTCTTTTTTCTTTTTGTTAAAGTATGTTTTTATTTATGTTGAGAGAGAGAGAGACAGGGAGTGAGTGGGGGAAGGGCAGAGAGAGAGAGAGGGAGACAGAATCCCAAGCAGGCTCCAGGCTGACAGTGCAGAGCCTGATGTGAGGCTTGAACTCACCAACTGTGAGATCATGACCTGAGCCGAAATCAAAAGTTGGACCCTTTAACTGGCTGAGCCACCCAGGCCCCAGGGGAAAGCGCTTTTTCAACTTTACTAGAGACTGCCCCATAGCTCTCCAGTGTATGCTCACGTATATTTCCACTCTCGGTGACGGGAGTGCCTTATTCAACATTTTTTTTTTTTTGGAAGAAAGAGATTATTTCGCTTTTCCTGCCTTCTTGTTTAACATCTGCTTAAAAAGAAACTGCTTTAATGCTGAAATCTGATACAATTTTTAAAAATTCTGCTGCTCATTAATGTATTGGGGGCAGTGTTTTCTTTGTGTTCCAGTTTGAAACTGGCAGTCATGAGATGGCTATGACCAAGGGGGCTAAGGGGGACTGTATGTGATTATTTCAAGCCTATCTTGGTCACTGATCTGAGGCAGAGTGTGAAGCAAGTCATGTACACCCACTCTACTTGTCATATCTTCTGCAGAAGATGATCTACAGGTTTTTATACCTTAAAATATTTGAGTTTAAAGTCTTCCCTAAATATGCTAATAAAATATGTTTATCCAACCGAAGGTCATCTTTTGGATTGTCAGCGGAGCCTCCCAGTACTTAACAATCTTTGTGTGATTGATTGTATTTTTGGCATGTTAATATTTATAGAAGACAATTATAGCATTTTTTCCCCAGTAGGTAAATAACTATTGCCTCCACATTAAATAAATATAGTCAAACACTGTATTTGACTTCATTTCTTAAAATGTTTTTCGGTCATGCCTAAAAGTATAATAAAAAAAAAACAATCGCATAATTTAGGGTCTGAATTTTTCCACAGCTATTTTCGGTCATTTTTCCAAAGAATTTGCTCGGTTTACTTGCAAATAGGAGACATTTATAGCATCAGCTGATTATCTTAGTATGTGCTGCACGAGCCCTGTTAAGATGTGCCTGAGTTAGAATTTAGAGATTTAAATGTTGTCAAAGGCACATCATCAAAGTAAGCTATAGGCTTTTTAAAAACTGAGGTATTATTCCCTCCTTAAAAGTTTGGTAGAATCCATCAACAAATCCATCTAGGTATGAGGTTTTCTTTGAGGAAAGATTTTAAACTATAGATGGAGTTCCTTTGACTACCAGAGGGCTATTCAGGTGATCAGTTTCCTCTTTAGTCAGTTTTGGTTGTTTGTATGTTTAAAGAATTTTGTCCATTTCATCTCTGTTGCCAAATTCCTTGGCATAAAGTTGTTAGTAACGTTGCTTTATTAATGGTCTAATGTGGGCAGCGTGTATGGCAATACCTCTTTTTCATTCTTGATATTGGTAAGTTTTCATCTCTTTTTATCCTGATCAGTCTGGTGAGAGGTTTATCCATTTTATTGTTAGAATTTCACTGCTTTTGTTTTTCTGTTTGTCTGTTTTCTAGTTCATTGATTGTTCTCTTCTTATTATTTCTTTCCTTCTACTTTGGCTTTACTTTGCTTCCATCCTCCCCACCCCACTATTAAGAATAAAGTGGAGAGCACTGATTTTAGCTAATTCTTATTTTCTAGAATAATCACTGAAAAATCACTAAACACTGTTTAAGCCGAATCTCACAATTTTGACGTGCTCTGTTTTTATTCTCATTCAGTTCAAAATATTTTCTAGTTCCCCATGTGATTTCTTCACTGACCTAGAGGATAAGTAGAAGTGTGTTAATTTCCTACGATTTGAGAAATTTCCAAATATCTTTCTATTCTGGATTTCTAATTTAGTTTGATATGGTCAGAGAACATATTCTGTATCATTTCAGTATTTTATGTTTATTGAGAACTTGTTCAATGGTCAGTATATGGTCTACCTTAGCGAATATTCTGTGCAGTTGGATATAGTATGTAATCTGCTGTTTAAAGATATTTTTTCTTTCAGTTTTACTGAGCCAAATTGAAATAAATATAGCACTATATAAGTTTAAGGTATACAGCATAATGTCTTAACTTACATGTGTTGTGAAATGATTACCACAATATTTGGTTAATATCTATCATCTCATATAGATACAAAGAACCTGCTGCTTTGAATGGTGTGTTCTATAGAGGCAAATTATGTCCAGTTAGTTATACGGTCCAAATAACTTATTTATCAACCAATTTTCTATTTTTTCTAACAATTACTAACAGTTGAGTGTTGAAATATCTGACCATAGCTGTGGATCTATTTCTCATTTTAGTTCTGCCAGTTTTTGCTTTATGTGTTTAAAATTTTATTGATGGTTGCGTAGACATTGAAGATCGTTACATCTCTTTGATTAATTCTTTTCTCCTTATTTCTCTCTTTATTTGTGATAATATTTACTGTTCTGAAGTCTGCTTGGTTTGTTATTAATATAGCCACTTCAGAATTCTTTTGATTTGTGTTTACATTGCATCTTTTTCTATACTTTTATTTTTAACTTATCTGTGTTTTATATTTAAAGTGGTTTTTTTTTTGAGAAAGCATATAGTTCAATATTTCTTGATAAAAACCAGCTTAAGAATCTGTGCCTTTTAATTTGATTGTTTAAACTATTTATTGTGAATATAATTATCAGTGTGGTGGGGTTTTTTTTGCTTACCATCTTGCTATTTGTTTTCTCTTTGTCTTATTTTTGTCTCTTTTCTCTTGGATTAATTATGCATCTTTTTAAGTCTTCCATTTCCCCCCATCCTATTAGCTGATTAGTTTTAACTCTGTTCTATTTCTTTCTTAGAGAGTGTTCCAGGTCAGGACCCCTTTATACTCAAATAACCTCATGGTGAGGACCTCAAAGAGCTTTAGTTTATGTGTATCGCACCTATTTATATTTACTATATTAGAAATTAAATTGAAAAGTTAAAAATATTATTTTTTAAAAAATAAGTATACAACTCATTATAGAGTAACGTAAATAATATGTTTTATTAAAAAGCTATGTTTCTGGAACAAAGATCATCTGGTGAGAAGAGTAACATTGTTTTACATTTTTGGCAAAGTTCTTTGATCTCTGTCTTAGAAGCTGGGTTCTCCTGTCTACTGTATTCAGTCTGTTGTGATATCACATATCACATCACTTCTGGAAAACTCCATTGTAAATCTTGTGAGAGAATGAGAGTGAAAAAAGAAAATAACACCTGAGTATTTACTATGAAAACAATTTTGACCTTGTCAT